TCTTTTCTGGTTTGATTTCCTCTATCAGGGGATGCAATGATGAGGAGACTAAGTCCTCCCTCAGGAGCTCCAAGTCTAGATGGGGAGCCAAAGTCTTCACATTTCTACAAATTCGAGCCGACCAACTGCCGTCTGCTGAGTCTGGTGATGATTCCTAGTGGAAAAGTTGTGGGTAGGTGGAGGGGTGATTGCAGACTCCCAGGTGACCCTTTTGGAGGACAGGTTCTTTGCTCTTGGTGGAGGTGTCTGGATGTCAGAAAAGGATTTGGATGCTGAACCTTCCTGGGAGGGTGATTTGGCTGTGGCCTCTGCACTCCTGTTTATCCCATGCACCTTGGTCTCCCTGCCTCTGTCTGACCTCCATGGTATCATTACCTATCAAACAAAAGACTCAACCAATCAGCCCTGTCCTCCCCAGATCCTCACCATCTGGGGCAAATGAATCCACCCATGCTGTTACCTCAATCCAGACTAACGGGACCAAACTACAGGAGTCGGGGATTTGAAGTGATGGGGTGGAGGGGGCCAGTAGAGGATTGACTTCTATAAAAGCTCCCAGGTGGTGGCGATGAGCTTCCAGGGATGAGAAGGAGAATTGTATTAATCTAGAGTAATCTCTTGGGTCCCTTCCGGCTCTGTGCAGACATTCAAATATGCAAGACATCACCCAAGAAAGGGTCATGGTCGCAAATTACATTTCCATGGCTGAAAGGAGTTTCTAATACTTTGCCTTTGATAATGTCTTATGTTTTTCTAAGTGCTTTCAAATTCATTAAGGGAATGATCTTTAAATACTAATATTATAGCAAGGTAGGTATTTGAGGCACTTTATGCATGAAACATTTTCTGGCTGAAAAACATTTTTTTTTTCCAAAAAAGGACAGTTCAGAGTCTCTCCCAAGGTCACCAGCTATTTAACCACATGCTGGGAACGAGGCACAGACAGGTTGCTGACCTCAGCCTAGAGCCACCTCTTGGAGCTCTAACTGCTCCCTGAAGCTAGGAAGCTTCCAGACAATTTCCCCAAGGAGAGATGGGGGGAGGGGTACGGCATGTCTCCCTGAGAGTCTGGTAGACCAGAAAGCCAGGCTTCACAGAATTCCAGGCAGAGCCCTGTCACTGGGCCATCTCTGTCACACAGTGTGAGGAGCCTTATCCTGCCCAGTGGGCACTCGCCAGCAGTCAGCTCTGACAGGGGATCAAAGACAGCTTAACCCCGAGGACGTGGCATGAGCGACCTCCCTCCGCGTCAGCTCGGCTCATGATCTAACAGGGAGAGACATTCTTGCCAGGGCACTTCACACTTACCCCTTGGCTATTGGCTTGAGGCTGTCAGAACCCATAAAAGAGTCAGCAGTTCTGCCATGTAACTCAGAAACACATCATTTTCTCCTAAGTATTAAGTTGTTGAGACTGATCAGCTCAGCACCGGATGTAACGGGCTCAGCTGCAGAAGCCTGGGTCTCCAGAGCTCCCTGGCACCCTCGGTCATGCTGCAAATGGTGGTGTCCAGCTGCTCCCAAACTATAGTCCTTTGTGCTCTGCATGAGACAATGTGGATTCCAAATATCCCTGCTCCTCAACCTCATTCTATAGGCACTCTGAGAAAGCAGGAGATGCTGAAGATCAGCTCAGCTCACCCCTTGCAAGCAGCATCCCTGCTTGGGCTCAGTGTCCCCTCGCCTTCTCTCCCAGCATCACGGGCTATCTTGGGTCAACAAGGCAGGTGTTAAAGTGAAAACAAGAATAATATCCATCTAGAACAATTTCTTGGGTCCCTTTGGCTCTGTGCAGAGATTCAAGTAGGCAGGGCTTCACCATAGATGATGATGGACCCTTCCTGGTTTCAAATAAAAGCCCCCAAGCTGAGTTGGCATGTTTCTGGGACACCCAGCCCAGGCAGAGGCAGGGAAGGCTTTCTGGAGGAGACATCTGAGCAGAGCAGCAGGAACTCTGATCTCCAGCAGGGGAGGGGAAATTCATGTACAGCAGCCTCCTAGCTGAGGCCTCACCCTGCTCCACGAGGTGCTGGTGGGTTTTCCCTCTGTCTGTAGGAGGCACAGGTACAAGTGTTTCTCCCCTCTCCAGGCTCTGGGGTAGGGCAATCTGGACTTCTCATATCTGAGGGAGGTAGAGTGATTTTGTGTCTAGGGACTTCCGTGCCCCCTTCTCCAGGACTGGACTCAAGAAACTCTGAAGCTCTGTGCTTATATGAGATCCTGCTGCCTGTAGGCCCTTCAGAACTTTTGCCAGGACCTTCTGGGCTCTGAGAATATATGCCTGAGCATTCAGGATGCCACATGCATCCTTGGTGGAGGCCTGTGCCAGCCCAACTGGCTTCCCTGAGAGAGTGGATGCAGGCCCCTGAGATTCCAATCCACCATGCTCCACAGGGGGGCACAACCCACTTTCCATCTACAGCTAGACTTCTAGAGAGATGTTCTTCTCGGTAGGAGGTGAGGGGAACGTTCCAGATTGTGGTGACTGTGGTCAGTCCCCACATCTGTGCACCTGGATCTGGATGAATAACAGGCACCGAAGGCTTTTTTGTTAAACAAAAAGTGTCATTTTAAGAAATGGAATTCTCATATCCATTCACCACTTGATAGTAAAAGACCCTGGGCTTACACAATAGCTTATCTGGTCTTCTGATAACACAGTGAGTGGCTCCTGCCTCAACCAAGTCTACATCTCCCCAGGTAGGGGACCCAGTTTCTTCTTCTCCAGACACCTGTCAGAGAGTGGTACAGGATGGAGCAAGGGATGGTGTGGAAGAGTTGGCTCATGCTCTGAACAGGGCCTGTCAACCAGCACAAGTGCTGCCTTGTACAGGTGAATATTGACCTGGCCTCCATGGAGACAGTGATAGAAACATAAGGAGAAGCAGCGAGAAAACCAAATTTCTTTTCAATTCTTTCATGTACAGAAGAGAATAAAAGGGTAATTTTGATGTGCTTGATTTCTACCAGCCATGGGCCAAGCCTACTCCAGGCTCTCTGGCTCCCTGTGGGAACTCCGATGTGCCTGTAGCTTCCACCCAGGCTGGGGTTGCTTGGGTTAGAAGAGGTTCATCCAGGTGTCTTAGAAGTCAGAGGAGAGTCAGAGAGGACAGTGGGATGGGCAGGGAACCCTCTCACCAACAGTGCCATCTGGAGCTGTAGACAATTTGTCAAGGTGGACCCAAAATCAACTATATGCCTGAGCATTCAAGATGGGTACAATTGCAAATGGAATGACACAGAAATCAAGTTCACATGGTTATCATAAGAGGATGGGAATGTTCGGCAGAAAGGTACCACAAACTGACAATGAGTATAGAGCTTTCTTACAACTTACAGTAAAGAAGTGATAAAAGTTTAAGGAGATAGATATGCTAATTACCCTGTGGATCATCACCCAATGTATGCATGAATCAAAACATCACATTGCATCTTATAAATATGTGCAATATTAAGGGTCAGTTTAAAAAGCTGAACATATTCACAGGCCTTTGGAATTAGGATGCAATGGGAGGGTATTATTCTTCCTACCATATATGATTTATTAGTTTTATTTGATTATCTGAATAAATTCATTTTAACAAAGTTAAAAAAATAAGGACATAGAGTATCTTTCTTTGTTTTTGGTCCTGGGGATTGAACTCAGGGGCACTCAACCACTGAGCCACATCCCCAGCCCTATTTTGTATTTTATTGAGAGACAAGGTCTCACTGAGTTGCTTAGGGCCTCACTAAATTGCTGAGGCTGGCTTTGAATTTGTGATCTTCCTGTCTCAGTCTCCTGAGCTGCTGCATAAAGTGTTTTTTACTTTTTATTTATTTTTTTTGTGGTGCTGGGAATTGAAGCCAGGGTCTTATGCATGCAAGGCAAGTACTCTGTCAACTGAGCTATATTCCCAGCCCAGAGTGGTTCTGACCACAAAACAAACAAACAAACAAAAACCAGTATCTTACAAAGCTGGGAACACAAACAGGAGACCTATTCCCAGATGCAGGTAGAGTGTCCTTGGGTGTCTCCAAGTTCCACCCTGAGCCATACAAATGTGGCTGATAGGGTCACATGGAGAAAGGGCACGGTCAGGTGTGAGAAGTTCCATTTCCATTTTCTGGAGGGTCTTTTTTTAAGGAAGCTTGACCTCCTCTACCCCTCTTCTGAAGATGAAGGCTATGTGTCTACTTACTTTCCAAACACAAGGAGCCATTGCAAAATAAGCCAGCTCATTCCTGAGTGTTCAATGGTGTGAGGCCTGAATAAGGAGGCCAATTCCCCAGGCTGAGCCTTTTCCAGAAGGCTCAACCTTCAGATCTTCCTTAGGTCCACTCTTGTAGGGCCACATGTCTGCAGTCAGATATGACCTCCGTATGTTAGGGCTGTCCCTCGGCTCAGGTCACAAAGCAGTCTGCTTGGTTAAATCCAGGCCGAGACAGCACCATGGAGCTTTTAACATTACTCTCTGGGTACGACTATTTAGAAATGAAAAAGAAAATGCATAAATGGCCTAGAGTAAATATTATCATTATTTATTAATATTTTATCATGGCCTTCTGAGTAAGCTTTAGAGTTGCTAACTGGGGTGGATATTACTGGCAACTCCAGTAAGCCAGACACTGCATCCTGAGAAGATGGGGCCTGGCAGAAGATGCTGGGAGCTTGGGTAATAAGGTAAATTCTCCTGTTCCAAAGGAGACAACTGGTCCTAATTAGGAAAAAAAAATCCAATAATAGGTATCATTTTATAAAGCAGCTCTGTATGAGCACCAGACAGCGCTGACATGGGCATCAGTGAAAGGGGCCACTATATTTCTTAGGGAATCTTTGAGGCTTTAATGACTAGGTAGGAATCCTGGTTCATTAGCACATCCATTGTTGGAAACAGAAATGTGGCTGCTCAGCCAAGCAGCTTTCTCTAAGTTTACTCACTGTGTCCTTGTTTACAAGGTAATTGTTTCCAGAATCTTTGGTGTTTATAAATTGCTTCTAGAGTAGTGGGGGAGGGGATTCTTAAAGGGAATTCCAGGAAAACCATGCTTCTGGTCATAGAGGAAAAGATGGGGTTGTTTTAGGTCAAAGTGTGAAGGACCTAGGACTGTGGTCCTATAACCTCAGCTTTTCCAACAAGTGACTACGGAGTCACGGTAGGTGAGGCAGCCATGAACAGGTGGAGCTGGAAAGGACAATGAAGGGCAGACGTTGGCCTATGCATGAAGGAAATCCAGGAGTCACGAGGAGTCTTATCAGACAGGCACACATCCAGGAAATGGGGAACAAAATGGCCAACCTTTCCTAACCCATAGATGAGCATAGCTCCCTAAGAAAAATGTCACTTGAAATCAAGCAGACAAGCTTCAGGAACATGGGGCCTGGTATGTCAGACTGACCCTCAGCCATAGTTAATCCCTTAAGGGAACTACTGGTTCCAGACCACGTCACAACCATCCCTGTGTGACCAGGTCATCACAACCCACATGTACAAAATGCACTAAGGGACAGACCAAGGGATAATTAACCACTTCAGGGGATACATGAGACTAGAACAAGGACAAAGGAACTCAAACCTTGTTAAAAAAAAAACAAAACAGTTCTGTAAGGACGGCGCTCTGTTCTCTTTGGAGATGGTCCAGGGTACTCAGCACCTGCAGTGTTCATTTATTTCTCTATTTTATTCAGATGGATTCCCGCCTACTACTATGCGTGACTCGTGTGAAGTCATTCCTGCAAGACTGCAGCAGCTTGGGCTCTACCAGTAGGTCTCCTTCCCTCTGTAGCAACCCTGGCACCTCCCTTCCCCTCTGCTAAGGAACAGGAAGGATGATTTGGTAAGTGAAGGCTATCATTTCCTGAGTACTGGAAAATGAGTCACCTCTCAACTGTCATGGCACCACCTGACAGGTCCGGTTATTATCCTTGTGTTTGAAGCAGGAACACCAAGCTTTAGAAACATCAGCTCGATCCTCTCAGCTTCCTCCCTGGGGTCTTGCTCACTCTCCCGCCCAGGTGTGTTATGCAGGTACACCTACTCCTGCAGGTAAAAAGATGGTGGCTTTGACCCTCTCCCTATGGGAAATCTAACCTGGTTTTTACCCCAAATATTTTTACTTGCTTTTAGTTTCCCAAATACAGTGTGGAATTTCACGTTCTCATACCTTTGTATTCGCTGTTCATTTTGTTTTAAATCTACTAAGAAAAAAAAATCATAACTCAGAAATAAATTAAAAACATGATTATATGTCCCCTTAAGGCCAGGGTAGGACAGTGGTCAGGACTCCAGCCTGCAGGCCAAATCCAGCCAACCACCTGCATCTGTAGTAAAGTTTTATTTAAACACAGCCACATTTTAATATTGTCCAGGGCTGAGTTTGCCCTGCAGTGGCTGAACCAAGACACACCTTAGGGCCCACAGAGTTGAAAATATTTATAGTGTGGGCCTTACAGAAATGGCTTCCTACCCCTGTTCCAAGGGGACTGACTACTTTTGATTTCATATTTACTATTGATCAGGTCCTGTTTGCTAAGGTAAACCCCAAACCTAGAGTTCTGACAAAGAGAAGAGCTGGTAGGAAAGAACAGAAAGAGTTGCATTTTTATTGCCTTGCAAGGTCACCCAGCTTCGCTGTCACCTAAGCTCTTTCTCCTCTGCATTCCTTTGTATTTCAGAAAATTCCGATTCTCATGTTTTCTTCTTTTACTGATTTTTTCATCCTGCTGCCTCTCTTAGGAAAAAAAGTTATGGAAGGTGCTGTCTGCCATTCACACACACGCATGCTCAAACACACATATTTTGAGAATTTTATTTTGACCAGCTCTTCTGTCCACTTTCCATGATACTTCATGACATAGCTGGTTGTCCCCTTCTTGGGAACATCTTCCCTGATGGCATTGCTCCATCCTGTCCTTGCTACTGGCCGCCCTCTCTGCACCCGCAGGAGTCTGAGCATGCTTTCTCCAGCACCAATTCCAGTTTGTGAGCTGAGAACATCTGCAGCTGCGGGGGGTCCACAGGTCTGGGAGAAGAAAGAGTGTGAGTATATACAAAGGGTGGTGTGGGAGGGTGGCACTGGGGGCCCGGGACTTGTTGAAACACCAAGTTAGACTTTGACCACTTTATTCCTGATTTTCTTCATCTGAAACACCTAATCTCCAACTCTTCAGGACTCTCAAGAGGCCTGCAGGGCTCTCATGGCCACGGCAAAGCTTTGTGTGGGAAGTAGAAATTGATAACTGGCCTTTCGTCTCTACATAATACATTTCTGCATTGGCAAGTTCATTTTGCATGAATGGAAATCCTCCAGAAGTTATTATCTTCTGGGATTAGAGTGGTTTTCTGGCAAGTCATGTTCTTGGCATCACTTAGGAAAGACTTAGTTTTCAGTCGTATTCTCCTTTCAGCTGTTCAAAGTTATTATCCCTCATTCTGCCCATCCAGACCCTAGCCTGCCACCAAGGTGAGGCAGGAGGGCTTGTTGTCACAGCTAGCTCCTTTCCCCTGGGAGTGCAGGGTGCACTGAATAGAAAAAAAGAGGTTCTTTGGCCCTCAGCCTCCACCCAATTCCTGACTCTTCTTCTTGGACTTCAGACAAAGTTTCAAATACTGTCATTCAAAGGATTCCTTCAGTCCATGAGAGATGTCAACAGGATGAGAGGCAGGAAAGTCCGAGAGGTCTTGAGGAGAGATACCATGATGCTAGGTGGTTGTCCTCTGTCCAGAAGTCAATCATGAGTGCAGTGATGGGAAAGCATGAATACTCACTTCCAACGGCATACATTTTCAAATCTTGTTAGAGAAGGAAGTCTGAACTTCCGTAAGGTAGAAAAGAGCAAAAGATAAATAGATATTTGTTGCATTGATTCTGGGGTCCTGTCACCTTGCAATTAGATTCAAACATGAGTCCTTCCAAATGTCTGAGCAAGCGTTTTAAAAACTTTGCAGATCCACGGATTTCAGGTCTGGCCATTCCACACCCTCAGGACTCACTCCTGCAGCCATACACTGGGCCCCCACTGGGATGCCAGCTAGAATTTCCTTGGAGAATCTATGTGCTGTAGAGAAAGTCACTAACGGCCGTTTCTTGAATAAATACGTGAATTATTCCTGTTGCAAAAAGATTTCCATTTTACAAAAGGAACATGGGCTTTTTGCCTACACTACATTCCATCTGCACAATCTACAAGTAATTGGATCCTGACTCAACGACAAGGAGCAAACACACCCGGGGTGTCAAATGAGGAAAACAGTCGATCACAGTAATGATGGACAGCCAGACTTGACAAAAATCCCTGGGACCCTATGTGTGCCAGAATGAAGGGTCTGGGAGGGTAGGGGAGAGGGTGGCTGAGCTATGCAGAATGCACCTGTGTGTGGGCACATGGGCACGCGTCGTCAATATATGGAACCATTGAGGGGATTTCCACCAGCACAGGGGTAGGGCAGCCAGGATGGCACCAGGCCTTAGGTAGATTAGGGTGTTATATATGTGGCATGACTTGGAACATAATATAGAGCTCTCGTATGAAATTATGCCTCCTCACCTGCTACTGAGTGCTACCTTCATATATCAGAGGAAAGACATTTGATCCTCAGAAAATTTCTAAACAATTTCTCAGAGAGAAGAAAAACAGTGGAACTCATGCCAAGTTGCCTGGGATGGACAGCAGATCCTTTCTGAGGCCAATTGAGTGGTACCCATATGGGTGTAGGGGCAGAGGGCCCTGACCTTGGTACCAAGACAGAAAGGAGAATGCGAGACAATCCAAGGTAGTCTTTGCTAATCGACCCTAAATTAGAGCAGGAGAAATCCCCTTGAACTTGAAACGGGTGTTTTAAGTTTAAAAACGTTTTTTGGGGGAGACAGTACACAGAGAAATGAAACTATCAAGTTCAGCCCATCCAACCTAGTGAAACTAGACTGAAACTTTTGGTTTCTGTTAGGAGCCATTTATGAGTTGCATGTGGGTCACTGAACATGGAAGTCTCATGAACAGAGACATCTGGTGTCTGGGAATGGCCAGTGGACATTTCCTCTGGTCAACTGCCCAGGGACAATGTGAATCTCTTTTTGGCTTTGCCGTGGCCTACACAGCACCTGAGATGGGTGTGATCTGCCAAGATGTCAATCAACCTGCTGACTGCAAGACTCTGCCCTTGAAACCTTATCCCTGCCTTTGATGCACCCCCTTAAATAAATCACCAAAGCCATTTTCCCTTTGTCTAGTTCATTCTGGAACCCAAGTGGACTAGATCTATTAGGGGCTTCCCATTCTATAAATCTATTTCTGAGTTTATGCTTGGTTGCTGATTGATTTTCTGAGATGGTACGTTTTAGGGTGGCTTGGACTCCCCTGGGCAGGAAGAACCCTGCAAAGAGACATTGCCCCCCGAAAGGTTTCTACTGGAAAGGTGAAAATCAAAAAATGTAGAGCCACAATCCACCTTGATCACTGCCATTCCAGCGGTGAGAGAAGACTGAGAGTCAAAGCTCTCGAACTTGACCGCAACTCATCAGCGTTGCAAGTCCAGGAGACACAGCCAGGACACAACACCTGAGCCATCAGGCTTTCTTTCTACCCAGGTGAGAACCAATGTTAATTCATCAGAGCATTCTTCCTCCTGATCCAATAACAAGCCTCAGAATCTTTCTTAACTCTGCTCTCCAGGCTGCCAGAATTAATTGACTGGACTCTGCGCTTGGATTCCCAAATCTATTTTCCCTTCTTAGTCAAAAACAATAAAGAGTTTTCACATATAAATTCTTCAAAGCTTCCATCTCTATCCTTTTTTTTTTCCCCTCCTGAAGAGGCAATTCAGGATAGGGTACTTGAGTAGATATTCAGTAGACCTGTGAGTATTTGATGAAAATTCATGTGAAAACAAGAACACGCAATTGACCTACTAACAACAATCCCTGAGAGTAAGATGAAAGGATGCCTGGAGATCATAAGAGTGCATTTGCTACGATTGCTCCTTCTCTGTTGCGTCTGGAAGGAAAGCGATCCACGGAGGCCTTATCCACACAGAGCTCCCGCCATGCTCAGCAAGAAGGAAAAGCACTTCTGCAACACAGCGATGAGTTGTGGGTAGCCACTCCCCCAATCTGCAGAATCACGGGGAGTTGTCAAATCCACACCAGGTGACTCACCTTTGCTCACTCTCTGGTTGAGGCTTCCAGAAGGATGACTGGAGCCCAGGAGGATGGTGCACTTTGGACCATCACCTTGAAAACAGTCATTGCCCCAAACCACAGGAGACTCAAGTTCAGCAGTCCTGAAAATCCTGCTTGGGGCCTTCAATTCTCTTAGACTCTGCATCCCTAGGAATGACCTTGTTTAATCATTTCTTGTTTAACAAGGAAAAGTTCAAGAACGAAATAAATTTTTGTTCTTGTTTTTGATTCAGTCAGAGTTTTGGTTAGTGTGTTTTGTGAGAAAACCATCAGGAAAAACAGTTCTGTTCAAAATGTGTAGGATTCTCGGGAGAAAACAGAATCTGGGCCCCTTTTAAGAAAATAAAACCAAACTTCAGCTGAGCTGTGGAATCCTTCCCAGGAGAGAGAAGTTGTGAAAAGTAAAGATGAGAAAAGATATTTTTTCCAGTGTTTACTATCTCTTTGTTAGAAGAAAAGAAAAACACGGTGGCCTTAGGTGCTAGTTCGGGAAAGCTCATGCTATCAGCTTAGGGAGGGGAAGAAGGTTGGTAGGTGCAAGGTCCCCATATCAGCCATTTTTCCAATGTCTGGATCATCTACAAAGTGATGCACACCTCTGTCCATTACCCACAATCCTCGCAGTCACCTTCAAGGTCATGATTATCTCCTATGTTTTAGGGGAACAGCATGAGTTGTTGAGAGATAAAGCCATTGTCCAAGAGTCACTGGGGACAGAGGGAGGCGGGCTCCACACAGGAACTTTTCAGCCCCAATTTTGGATAAAGAAGGATTAATAATGGTCTGTTCTGAGTATTTGACTTCCATTACTAAACTTACTTATTTCTTCATTCTCTCAATTCAGTCCCACAATTTGATCTGCTCTGTTCAAATTATTTGTGCTGGTAGGGTCTAATTCCTGGCAGCTCTGAGCAGCCAGAACTGGAAACAAGGGAAGTTGGGGCACAGAACAAGAGTGTGGTATCTGGAGTGGGAAGAACTGGAGCTTGGGTCACCGAAAAATGAGATGGCGGTACCAGTGCCACCCACTCTTACCTACCTCTCATACTTTTTTTTTTTTTTTTTTTTTTTGGTACCAGGGATGGAACCCAAGGATACTCAACCACTGAGCCACATCCCCAGTCCCCTTTTTTTTCTTGTATTTTATTCAGAGACAGGGTCTCACTGAGTTGCTTAGGGCCTCACTAAGTTGCCAAGGCTGGCTTTGAATTTGCAATCTTCCTGCCTCAACCTCCCGAGCCGCTGGGACATATATTCTTATTCTAGCACCCTGTAGTCCTTCTGTAACTTCCCTACATGAAAAATACCCAAATAATTTGCGTCATTATATAAAATTCTAAATTTGAAAAATGGTTTGATAGCTCATGAATTTTACAACTAATTCTACTGGCACAGAATAAACACCTTTGAAATGACAAGAGTCATCTGAATATTTGCAGGCATGGGAAAATTAGAGATGGCCCAAGAAGAGAGAGCAGGGTTTGGTGTTCTGCCACCTCACCACATCGCTTACATTCTGTGTATTGATTTGGAAGAGACTTCTGAACCTCTCCACTCGCTTCTATGGATGGCAACCCAGCCTGCGAAGCCATGTGTGGTTTCAGTGAGCTGAGATGGGCTATTATATCTAAGAGAACCATATTGAACCAGGAAATGCAGATAATAGGGTTGCCTTCCGAATGATCATTCATTCTGGATTCCTTTAAATGAGGAGCAGCTGCAAATTTAAAGTGCTGCCTGGCAGACATACACATTCCCATTTCCAGTCCCATTCTGAAGAAACTGGAGAGTGGTGGGTTGAAAGCAGCCAGCAAGTCTGTCCCCTCCAGCCTTCTTCCTGACTCTGGAAAAATCCAAACAGA